GTCAGAGGAGATTTGAAGCGGAGAAACTCTGTTTTGTTTCCTTTTTAAAGGACCAAATACACGAGTGAACAGTGTCGGACAAGAAGACGCTCTTGGTGGGATTTGAAGATGCAACGTCATGAGGCGTGTTCGGTAGAATTTCAGCCTCAGTGTCTCACCTGTGAGTTAGAAACTGCGGCTGCACTGAGAGAAGCCAGTTGAAGTGTGTATTTATATATTATTTTATAAATAATATTATTTTTAACCTCCAAACTAAACCAAACTCCAACTGGAAAACCTGGGTTTCCTCAGAAAGTCTTTAAACTTGGGGTCAAGAAAGAAAACAGATGAGCAACAGATAATGAGTTTATGGCTCCAGTATCGGTGTGTTTTTATTAAAGCAGTGAGACTTAATGAAATGTCTTCCACACATTAAACTGCAGCTGAAATTTGAGAGTTTCTGACCCACGTCTGAACTAAAAAAATCACAAAGCGTCTAAGTGGATTTCATGTTTTGGCTCTCCAGGAGGTCCAACAATAACAATCAGTAGAGCCGACCCGAGTGTGTTCATTAAAACTCACTGTAACTCACCTGAGGACGAGTACAAACTCCTCTGGCAGCCGCTGCAATCACAGTGTGTGTGAACAGTATAGATCTGAGTGCTTATGAACAAACAGCAGGAGGTTATTGCTGTGGGGTCTCCGGAGCGAAGACGTGTAAACCAGCCGATAAATGGACTTTTCAAAATAAAAGCGTCTGACTGGTGTTTGTGGGAGAAACAAAGAACTGGCAGCTCGTTAAGTTTGATCGGCAGCACAAACACACACACACACACACACACACACACACAGGGGCAGGGTTCCCATGCATCCCAGAAAACCTGGAAATTTAGAGACCTGAAAATTTATTAAAATGACCAAATATCCAGGAAATAATCTCATAGGAAACTGTGCTGTGGCCACATTAATGACCGCAGTGAATTCAGAAAGCGGAAACTCGCTACTGAGAGACCCTCAACCTTCATTGATTATCAGAATCAAAGGATTATTGTGTAGGTTTTCACATACAAAGAATTAGCTTTGGTATGTTGGTTCATGACAATAAACAAGAAAAATATAAATCAAGAAGCATAATGAGAAAAATGTATAATATACGAAAGAATATAACACCAATATGTAGAATATGACTTATTTTAAATGGAAGCTGTACAGTTAGTGGAGTATTAACTCTATAAAGTCTAAATAAATGATGTAACTGAAGATGAAAACTGATCTTCTGAAACTTTATTAGAAATCTGAGAGGAGGGAAAAATAAATCGCTTTCATAAAGGAGTCAGAGCAGCAGCAGATCATCATCAATATATCTGCATGTTACATCTGCCTGCCTGTCTGCCTGTCTGCCTGCAGCTGCACAATATTTCAGGTTTCAGATGGAGAAACTTTGTCTTTGTGTTGTAAATTTGTTGAAATAAACTCACATAATAAAATGTGTCTGTGTTATGGGTCAACTGTTTTCTAGCATGTATTTGCTTCTGCAGATAATAAACAAAGAACATTAATTTCCTTCTGGTCTGCAATTCAAAACGACA